GCCACACAGAATTCACAGATAATATTCACAATTACGGGATTTATTAGGGAAGTTGTTGTTGTTGTTATGTGCCGTCGAGTCAAACCCGACTCATAGCGACCCCTCCTTGGGTTTCCGAGGCAGTATCACTACGGAAGTAGGATTGCCCAACCTTCCTTCCGAGGAGTGGCTGGTGGGTTTGAACTGCCAGCCGTCTAGTTAGCAAGCAAGCGTCTTAGCCACTATGCTACCAGAGCTCCATTAGGGAAGTAACAGGTTACAATTCAGGTTCAAGAATGCTCTCAGGATACAATTCTTCAATCAGGACAGTCTCCCCTCAGCTAGTCCTTTAGGCATGCCTCCCTGGCCCTTGGCCTTTAGGCCTAGCCTCTTCCCTGCTCAGGCAAGAATTACAAAGTTCTTTTAGCTCAGCCATTAGGGGTACCTAGGTGCATCCCAATGCACCAGCAAGCCTCCTGTCCAAAGGCACTCAGCTTTCTCACTCCATGGGCTAGCATAGTTTCTTGGTTTTGTTCATTCCCTTCCAGGACTACCTTCTTGGTGACCAGTGGTTGCAGGGGTTACTGCCTGTTGTTCCAACACAATTTTTTCCTTTCCAGATAGGCCCTGAGACTAGCAGTAGTAGCTCTGATAGGACTGGATCTGAGCTTGGTTCAGTGCTACAACCTGCCCATACATTATTTGTCCCTGCAATTGCTGCAGTTGCTGATAGTAGCAACCAAGGAATTGTAAGCCTCACCCTTTCCTTATCACTCTGTATTTCCATATGCATGCATCTAGCCAGTTTGTTCAACCACTGCTAAACACAACACGTGAATAGCTTTTGCCTTGAGTAACTCATCTCAACAAAACAGCTGCTTCAATCTGTGGGTTTTTGTTGTTTGTTTTTAACCCCATCCAGAAATCAAAGGTTTCATTCTCTTTATCCCCTTTTCCCCAAAACCACATATTCCAGTGAGTCTGGGCCACTGCAGCAAATCTCACCATTCTGACACCAACTGCTTGAATAATTTCTCCTAGAAGGATCAGCACAAGGCTGGTCCTTATAACCAAAAAAAAAAAAAAAAAAACCCAAATGGCAGTCCATCTCTACGGAAGTAGATTGCCCAGTTTTCCCTCCAAGGAGTGGCTGGTGGGTTTGAACCGCCAGCCTTCTGGTTAGCAGCCAAATGCCTTAGGCACTACACCACCAGAGCTCCCAGGTCCCTATGAGGTGGAGGCTAAAGATATCCCAAATGTCCACCTTTTCTAAACTGCTGCGCCACTCCATCATCTCTCACATCAACTCCTTCTCCTCTTTTCAGTACTCTCTCCTATCTTCTTCTTGTTGTTATGTGCCGTCGAGTCGGACCCGACTCGTGGTGACCCCTCCTTGGGTTTCCGAGGCAGTTTTGTTTTTTTCCTCCTGTCACAAATTCACATTGTGGTTTTGGTTGAGTGTCATCTACAGGCGGTGCTTCTGGAGATGGATGGGCAGGGCTTGCTATTGGAAGGTGACCACATTTAGATTCTGAGACTGGAAGAGAAGGGTGAACAGGTCACGGTGTTTTGTTTTGTTTTGCCCTTAATTTTTTCTTTTTTGCTGTCTAGTCATACTAATTGGTCATCTGTTTTTTGGTGTCAACATCATCATCCTCATCATCTTCCGCTTCCTATTTGCCCGTAGCTGCCTCAGCCTCATCTTCATCTCTATCCTCTATCTCACCATCACTTTCTTCATCGTCTTCCTCCCTACTTCTTTCTCTTCTCTAACTACCTCATTGTCAGCCTCTTGTGTTCTACTTTCTTCATTAGTGTTCTCATCAGCAGGTTGCAAAAAGGGCAAGGAGGTCACATCTTCCGACCTCCTCTAACCCTACAAGAGGAAGACAGGACTACGAGCAGTAACCCAAGGCCTATCACTTCAAGGCCAGACATGCTGCTTCCCTCCAGCTCTTTCTCCAACCGTTCCTCCCAAAGCACCACCACCTCTCTCCTGGGTTCGATAATTTGCTGCAGTGGCCACACAGAACTCACAGATTATGAGGTTTATTAGGGAAGCACCAGACTACAATTCAAGTTCAGGAAGAATGCTCAGTCTCTCTCCCAGCCCACCGTCCCTCAGCCAACAGTCTCTCA